CTCCCCCGCTCACCCCCGCCCCCCTTCCATAACGTAACGCTCTTCGCCCCCAGTGCGGCCCCAGCACCGCCGCAGTGCGTCCGGCACCGCAGTTTTTCCTGGTGGGGGGCGGGGACGTTATCTTATACCCCCCCATCCCACCACCCCCACCTCCTCCTGTCATAATGCCCGTCATCGCCACGAATTTTCAAAATGCTTTCATGGGTTTTCAATTCGGACCTCAATCCTTGACTCTTCGCGCACCCCCACCAGCCCATCCAGCACATATGCCCAGGCGAGTTGCATTGATCAGGGGCTTGTGGGAGGTCCAAGCCGTTCAATATTATTCAATACTTGGGGGGCGGGGTCGCGTCGGGGGGTATCATCGAGCTTGGCCAGGACCAGGCGAAACCGCTCCAGAGCGCTCTGGAGGAGGAGGAGGAGGAGGAGCAGGAGGAGGAGGAGGAGGAGGGGGAGGAGCAGGAGGAGGAGGAGGAGGAGGAGGAGGAGGAGGAGGAGGAGGAGGAGGCGAGAGGTGGCGAGGTGCTTCGCGGGGGGGGGGGGCGGGATCGCGTCTGGGGCGGGGGGGGGGCTCGGTGCACGGGGGCCAGGGCGGAACGACGACGACGACGACGACGAAGGCGAGGATAGTGGCAAGGGCAAGGAGGAGGAGAGGAAGGAGGAGGAGGAGGAGGAGGAGGAAGAGGAAGATGGGAGGTAGGAGGTGGAGGAGGAGGAGGAGGAGGAGGAGGAGGAGGAGGAGGAGGAGGAGGAGGAATATGTGGAGCATCTCAAGGGGTGGCGCAGTCCCAGATCGACACTTCAGGCACCCGGGCGCTGCGAATGGCAAGAACCCCAAGTGGCGCCCATCTGCCTCCAGGGGAACCCCGAAGACTTCACGGGACTTCTTCCCACGAGCTTCCGCACAGGCCGAGGTCTCTCGTATTGGCTTGCCTATCGCAGGTCGGCCCGCGCGCGAGTCCAGGCTTGCTCGGTGCACCTTGTCAGCACCATCGTTACTAGAGGCTCGTGATCGCTGAGATGAACCAAGAACACCTCCAGGGACTTCAGGAGCTCCTGGTGGGCTTCCGTGGAGCCTCCCAATCGAAGAACAACGAACTGCATAAACATGAACTGCATCTGCGTTGGATCGCCCCGGCGGCGCATCTAGCGCCGCCCCTGGCGCGCTCCGCGCGCCCAGGGAGGGGGTCCAGTGCCGACCCGAGAAGCCCGCACGGACCTCCGACAGCTGTTGCCTATGTAGACTGTTTGTTTCTCTCGGGTCCCTCGTGGGCTTCCGCTCAGCCTCCCGAAGGGAGGCGGCGTCAGCCTCCTCCGACACGTTGCGAAGGCCTTAGGGCCCGTGCCGCCCACCCTGAAGGACGACGACGACGACGACGACGACGGCGGCGACGACGACGACGAAGACGACGACGCCGACGACGACGACGACGACGCTGCTGTGGGTCAGAGTCCTAGGGGATTCTGTTTGGGGTCTCTTCGATGCCCTGCAGAGGGGGGGGGGTAGCGCAGACAGAGCACCGCCGACCCTTGCAGGCTCGCGCGCAGGCCCGGGCGCTCCGCTCGAGGCTCCCGGGGTGGGGTCCGCCTGGAATCGCAGGCGACGTTTCTCCCCCGTTCTGTCCCAAAAGCTGGGCTGCCTGGACAAAGGGGCAAACTCTGGGATACACCCCAATGGGGGCTATGCAGACGCACCCCTTCTCGAGGATGGATGGCCCACCGTCGTGCATCCCAGGGCTGGACCCTAAAATTTCTGGCCCATTCAAAAGCCCGACGAAGCCTTGGATAGGGGTCGACAGATTCCCTGTTGTGGAGACCGATCTTCATGGACCTCGGGAGGCGGTGCATGTTCATAGATTCGGGGACCGCCGGGCCCAAGCAAGTCCATGTCCACCGCCCCCATGGGAGGCCCAGGACGGCGGCCCCCCATGCGGCGGACATGGGCAACCCGACTCGCGCGGAAGCGAGGACCCAGTGTGTCGAAGTGTGCGCCGACCAGCACGCCCGGCGCTCGCTGCCTGTCGTCCACGGCGAGGCTGCGCGCACGCGCGCGCCGAGGCGCCGATGGGTGCTCCAGCGCCTGCTGGGCGGGAGGGCGACGTCGGCAGAGGCCCGCCGGGCATCTGTTTCCCGACGGCTGGCTCTCCAGACCGGTCATCGCTGCCACTTCCACCCGCTGGATGGGTGGGACGCTCGGGCCAACAAAAAGTGAGTCGACTGGCAGCCCCTCCCTGGCTTCCTGGGAACCTCGGAACAGTCGGGCCTCCCAAAGGCCCAGTGGGTTAAGTCGGGCCTGTCCCTCTACAGGAGGAAGGTTCAGAGAGCAAAAAATAACCCGGTGATGATTTTTCGATTTCCGAAAACGTATTTGGGAGCATTTTTCGTTTTTCTTTGTCCTCCAAAATCCCCCTGCAGGAGGACACGCCCGACCTAACATTGGGCCCTGCAGCCGTGCGCGGTGGGCCGCTCGTCCGCGCGGCAGCCGCTCCGGCGACCATCGATCGGAGGAGCCTGAGATGCCGATACCGCTGCTCGTCCTTCTGGGCCTCCTAGAGGTCGGAGCAGATGATCAGTACCGTTGAACCGATCCCTATCCCGATCCCCATCCCCATCTCGAGCTCCACTGTATCGCCACCTCAGCTGGGGATGTGCCCCTCGGAGCCCGAAAAGAACAGCCTACATCCCCATCCAGGGGGTAAATCGGCCAGTGGGGCCTAGCCCACGCTGGTGGGGATGGGGATCGGTTAAACGATGCTCAGATGCGGTCGGAGGACCGCGCCGCATCGCCGATGCATCGCCGATGCGGCTCGCTGTGGAGCCCGATTTGCTTCGCGTCGACGTCGCCGATGCACCGCCAACATCGACGATGCGTCGCTGGTGCATCGCCGATGTATCGCCGACGCATCGGCGATACATCGGCGATGCGGTGCAATCCCCCGACCCCGCCGCCTCCTCCGCCTCCTCCGCCTCCCCCTCCTCCTCCTCCTCCTCCTCCTCCTCCTCCTCCTCCTCCTTCTCCTCCTCCTCCTCCTCCTCCTCCTCCTCCCCCTCCTCCTCTTCCTCTCCTCCTCCTCCTCCTCCCCGCCTCCTCCTCCTCTACTCCTCCTCCTCCTCCTCGTGGGGGATGGGCTGGGCACAGGCCAGCGGCGCGCCCGGGGGGGAAGTGAGGAGGAGGAGGAGGAGGAGCGGGGCCCATCTGGGAGGCCTCCAGTCCTGGAGAGCTCTCGCCACCACCGCGGGACTCTCCTCGAAGTCGTGGTCGGCATGCTGCCCAGGAGAGCTCGGCTGCCCAGAGGCGCCCGCGTGGAAGCGCAGCACGTGCCGTGCTCAAGACGTGCCTGTTCGCACTCTGCGCGTGCCGGTTCGGCACGCGGTGGGCCACGTTGCCGCGAGCGTATCGCGCCAGACTCACGTTTTCAGTGTACGTCTTGAGCTTTTTTTTTTTAAGTGTACGTCTTGAGCTTCGTGTCAGCACGCTGCGTGTTGCGTGTTGCGTGTTGCGTACTGGGGCAGCGAAGCCCCAAGAGAGGTCCCGGGAGCAGCAGTACCGCTGCGTTTCTGTCCCCGAGCCAATCATGCGCCTGCCATTCAGCCAGGGTGCATTTTCGATCCGATCGACCAGGTTCGATATCGATCATTGCCGTGTGGCTCCGATTCGATTCCGATGTTCCGACGATCCGACTATCCGATGCGGCCCGATGCTCGCATGGCGCTGCTGTGCATCCTGGCGCGGCCGGTCCAATCCGATATCGACGCCGTGCCGGTGCAGCCCGATCCGACCTCCCGATTCGGTTCTTCCAGCCGGCGGCATCTGCTCGGCCGATGTGTCGTGCAGACACTGCGCTATTGATTGATTGATTGGTTGATCCCACCCCGTTCTGGACCATCAGTCGCGCGTCTGCCACGCAACCCAGCGCTGATATGACGAGCTGAGCGCGATGTGGACCATCCATCGCGCATCTGTCACGCCACCCAGCGCTGATGTGACGAGCTGGGCGCGATGGTGGGCGCGATGCCGCCCGCTCGCGCCGGCGCGGGGCCTGCGGCCTTGGGCCACCCTCTCGGCGCTGTGCCGATCCTTTGAGTCGCGCTCGAGCTTCGGGACGTGCTGACATAGAAAATCGGGTATAGTCAGGACCCTGGAGCCCCTAAGCCCGGTTAGTGGTAGGGCCCTGGAGCCGCTAAATTGGCCAGAATCACTAAACCAGGTCTGCCGTAGGTGGTGTTTTTTCGGGTGGCGGCAATTCCGGTTAGTGGAACGGGGCAGGGGGGGTGCCCCCCAGTACACATCACTAAACCAGGTCCCACTAAACCCAGTTCTGCCAACGCCCGAGAAAAGTGCTTCTGCGGTCAGGGTCCGATTCTACGAAGACGCTAGCAAGCAGGCAGGCACAGTCGTTCGTTTGGCGTGAACTCGTGTGTGCGAAGCTGGGGCTGCAGCGTCGCGGCAGTCTGGGTACCACACCGCGTCCACTCATTTGGCATACTCGGTGCTGACGGCACTTTGTATGTACGTCCATTGTGTTGGACGTGCACGTTGGCGGCAGTAGTCTGTGCGTGTGTATTACGTTCTTGCTCTAGAGACTTGCAAATGTGGAGCTTCGTGCAAGGGGGTGACGGAGGGAGGAACCTCACCAATGCGAATCGCCTGCCGTGGGCTTGACACAACAAGGGGTGCGCAACCCTAGCCCGCAGCCAGGCTTATATTCCCTGGTCTTGATCGTGATGTGGCTAGTTCCCCCTTGCAGTCTCGAACGACAGCGGCCCAGGAGGGGTCGCACGACGACCACCACGGAGGGCAAACATGTTGGCTGCATCGTCAGCATGGCCAGCCGAACACAAAGAGCGAACGGCAAGTTGGTTCGCCAGCGCTTCTCATCATCTTCAGCTTCTGGATGCGATTATCTGTGCCAGATCTCGTTTTCCTGTACGGGCGCCTGTCGATGTGGTTTCTCTGAATATGAATTGTGGTGGAAGTGCCCCCGAGCCGAAGCAGCCAGGAGCAGTGGTATGCCTACTGCGAGTCCTTCGGGAACAACATTCGCGACCCTGCCAAGCATGATCCTTCGTCCGGGGGGGAGTGCCGAGTCATGCGGAAGCAGTTGCGATTGCGTCTCCATATCCCTGTCTCCTTCCCCTCCTCTTCTCGGCAGCGCGCCGAGGGGGGAAGCGAGAGGGGGCGGGGCTTCTCAGACGGCGGCGGGGCTTCTCAGAGGCCCTCCAGCCTTCTGAGAAGCAGAAGGCCTGGACAGTTTCGCAGAAGGCTGGAGAACTTGTGAGTTTTTGTGAGAAGGCTCTTCCCCTCTGCCCTGCCCCATGGGCGCGCCGCCGAACAGCGAAGACACGCGCAGGCAGCTGTACGCACATCGTCTTGGAACGTGTGAAAGGTTTTTGTTGGGGGCAGGGGTTTGTGGCTGTCGCGTCAGGTGCACTCGCCAAATAGCCATATGCGTCGGCTGGCGCATGCTTCTGGAGCTCTTCTTCGAGCAGTGCGGTCGATCATGGCTACAGGTATGCAATGACATGGTGAGGGATGTGGCACATCGTGTCCCCCATCCTAGTCCGGTTTCTTGGCGCCCTCCAGGAGGCGGCTTTGGGTGAGGAGGAGGAGGAGGAGGAGGAGGAGGATGAGGAGGAGGAGGAGGGGGAGGAGGAGGAGGAGGAGGAGGAGGAGGAGGAGGAGGCGAGGAGAAGGAGGAGGAGGAGCAGGAGGAGGATCAGGAGGAGCAAGAGGAGGACGTGGGGCATGTTCGCACTGCATCTTGGATGGAATCCTGTTGTCGTGAAGCGTGCCACTCCGGGGCAGGTGGGCCTCCGCAGGGCGAGGCTCTGCCGAAGAGTCGGTGCCGGGAGTCCGGGTCGGCTCGTCCCTGCACGGCGCGGAGCCCTCCGGCGCCCAGCTCGATCTGCTTCCACTCTTGTTTGTTCCTCGACATCCCAATTAGTGCTTTGCGCTCCCCGCCTAGCTCTTAACCGGAAGAGGCCCGCTCTCGACCCGCAGACCAAAACAGTTCCTCGACTCGCCACCCACCAAACCACCCCAGCCCAACCCGAAGGCTTCACTCTGCCCTCCATTTCCAGTGGGGGGGGGGGTCCGGGGACATTGAAAAAGCACACGTATGGAGCCCCCCCCCCCAAACCCGAAGTTCGGGTCTTCGGGTTGGGTTGGTGTGGTCTGGGGTAGGCATCGACAGTGCGTCTCGACCTGCATGGACCGCGTTTCTCAAGCGTCTTCGTGCCTTGCGTTGCAGCTTTGCCATCCGTGCACAACTCGTGCAGGCGGTCCAAGGGGAGGTTCATCCAGAGCTTCATCTCGCAGTACCAGCAAGGGGCACGCCTGGAGTATAAGGAGGCCAGAGATGTCGTGGCTGTTTGTCGATTCCGATGTGTTGAGTCAGTTGGTGCACCAGGATACTCGATGCACATGACGCGGCAAGACCGAGCGAGAGCTGGATGCACATGTAGCCAGATGTCGCGGCCCTTCTATGGCTGTGTAGGGCATGCTTCCGCATGTGTTTCCAGCGGGTGGCCCCCGGATGTCCCACATGTGAATGCAGCCATGCGTGGTTCCAGCTTCCTAGTATTGTGGAAGCCTTGCCCCTTTCATCGAGCTTCAACGAGTCGCACCCCCGAGTGGATACAAAAGGGCTGATCTTTTGGTGGTGGTGGTGGTGGGTCATGAGTCTCAGGGGTTGTACCGCTTACCTGTCTCTTCATTCGATTTCCTGTACTTGATCATGCCTCGTGGCCTGGTTTTGCTGCCACGATGTCCGTCTCACTCGGTCCGCCCAGGCGCGCTTCCGTGCGTCGTCAGGAGCCCCTCCCGTCGTGGCTGGTCGACAGAAGACCGCTCTGTCTGTCTCTGTCTCTGTCCTCCCCTCCACCTCCGGGGTTCGATTCGTCTCACGGCTGCGAGCGTCGCTTCGCATTGCGTGATCACCGCTCTCAGTCGTCGAGCGCGTTTATTTCTTGAGCTGGCTCCGGGTTGCCAGCAGCGGTGGGGGCCGCAGGAGGAGGGGGAGGAGGAGGAGGAGGAGGAGGAGGTGGAGGAGGAGGCGGAGGAAGAGGAGGAGGAAAAGGAGTTAGAGTCGGCGTTCGCCTGGGCCGCAGCTTTCAGCGCCACGCCACGTTCTGTCGGCACAAGGCGCCGCAGGAGCGAGTACATATATATATATATATATATATATATATAGATATGTATATATACACATATGTATCGGGAAAGCGAGGCATGAGCTACAGGCCATCGGAGCCCGTGGCTTGATCTCAGCAGCGAGAGCTCAAGCACAGCTCGATGCTGGGCAGACCCGACGATCTCGCAGCCGCTGGCTGGCCGAGCGGCCAAGCCAACCCGCGGTTGCAGCCTCGCGCTTCCCCACACGCTCAGGTGCACGGCCTTGCCCATTCTGCTGCAGGCTTTCGTCCCTCGCTCCTGCCTCCCTCTTAGCTCCTGCACCCCCCCCTTGCTCCTGCTACCCTGGAGTCTGCCCTCTCCGTCCTGCCTCCTTCCCGTCCTCGCCGTCCTCTGCCTCCAGCTTCTGCGCGTCCTGCGTGTCCCCGAGTGGACACCAGGTAGTTGTCCATCCCAGTCTTACAGCATGTCTCATCCCTTTTTCTCGACCACCAGCTCTGCTGATCCTTTCCGTCCTCTTTGTCGCTGTCCTCGTCCTCTTTCTCCGCCTCGTCCCGCTTCCTTCACCCTTCTCCCAATTCTTTTACTCGTTCTCATCATCCTTGTTTCTACCCACGCAGGGTCAAGAGTTCGTCAAGATGATCAAGCTTGGGCAGAAGAAGTCGCAAGCTTGGAAGGGCGTCTGGGAGGCGCGGCACCCCTTGGCGATCTTGTCGTCGAATCCTGGTGCGCTCCCTGATGTCGTTCCGCGCCCCTCTCTCAAATGCCCTGCAGGCGTTTTGGAATCGTGCCGCACAGTCAACCCGCGTCGCAGGGATGAGCGACTTTCCAATGCTGCCGTCGCATCCTCCCCCTTCGGCCCATCCTTGACCGCTGTCGCTGGCCGCGCCCCGCTCGCAAAGCGTCGACATGGCCTTCCAAGGCTCTTTCATCCTCAACGCGCGTCCTCAGTCTTCTTCTTGACTGTGCTACCGCCACTGCGGCAGCTGGCACGGGGGCCGAGGGCAAGCCCAGCTCTGGAGGGATGTGCCTGTGCCATCCGCTCAGGGGGCTCTCCGCCTTGAGGGCTCTGCCGAGGCCCGTGCACCCTTGGCAAGCCTAGCTCTCTGGAGGGATGTGCCTGCCCCATTCGTGCAGGGGGGCTCTCCACCTTGAGGGCTCTGCCGAGGCCCTGGCGCCCTCGTCGTGCGCCCTTGTTCCACGGGCGCCTGCAGGCTGCCCGCCCTTTTGTGCCTGAAGGCCACGCCCGAGCTCGGGTCAGGAGGAGCGCGGCCACCACCCAGGGAGGAGCGGACGGCCCTAAGGGCGTGGGCGGCCGGTGCCCTGGGCGTACTTGCGCCGGTGGTTGAAGGTAGGGAGGGATTCAGGAGGGGAAAAAACACACAGACACAATTCATCGCCGATTTTCAGGAAATGTGCAACAAATATGGGAAGTGGGGGGGGAAGACAAAAAAAAACCCAAATATATGAACATATGGGGAATCTTTTTATTCGTGTGGATTTGTATGTGTGTCCTGGGGCCCCTTCAGGGATGCTTCGGTGCCCCCAGGTTCCAATCTGCTGTAGGGGCGCCCTCCTGCTTCAAGAGCTGAGCGGCTTTCCTTCCTCCCTCCTCTGCAGGGGGGCGGGCGGGGGCCCAGAGATCCGATGTCGGGAGGAGGAGGAGGAGGAGGAGGAGGAGGAGGAGGAGGACGAGGAGGAGGAGAAGGAGAAGGAGGGGGAGGAGGACGGAGAGGAGGAGATCCGGCGTCGTGATTTTTCCAATGCGGGGTCCCCGGAAGCCTCGACCCATTCCCCAGGGCCGGTTCTTCATCCCGAGGCGTTTCTTCTTGGGCAGCGGACCCGGCGAGGGCCCCTCGAGGCCGAAAACATTGCGAACAACTGCCCTCCTGATTGTTTCAATGCGTTGGATCTTTGGGAGCCCAGTCTACTTCCAACACCGTCCTACCTCGTGCTTCTGCCCACCTCTTCCGGCCGACGGGTGCCCGCGGTGGCCACCTCCCCGGCGTCGGGGGCGGCCAAGAGGGGGGTGATGACTTGCGGGGGACATCATGGCGTGGGCCATGATATGTCCCCAGGTTTCATGGCGCTTCTTCTTGTTTCAATACGTCCCTGGCCCACCCCCTGGGCCGCGCCCATGCCACCGGCCGTGACTTGCGCCCCCCCACTCTGGGACCCCATCTTGGCCGATCCCGACTTCTGGCCGACGGGTGCCCGCGGTGGCCACACCTTCAGGGCTACGCCCACCCCTGCGGCAGCCCCCGAGGGACGGCCAACGAGGCCCCAGGCCGCGCGGGCATCGCCCTGATCTGATGGGCCGATGTTCCACCACCGCTACCATAGGTAGGGTGGGGGAGAAGGGAGATCCCAGAGATCCAGCGCATTGAAAACATCTGGACGGAGGTTTTTCGTATTCTTCGGCCTCGAGGAGCCCTCGCTGGGCCCCGGGACCGTGAACAAAAACGACTCGGGATGAGAAACCGGTCCCGGGGAATGGGGCGAGACTTCCGGGAACCCCACGTTGAAAAAATCACGACGCCGGACGTCCTCCTCCTCCTCCTCCTCCTTCTCCTCCTCCTCTTCCTCGTCCTCTTCCTCCTCCTCCTCCTCCTCCTCCCTCCTCCTCCTCCCCTCTCCTCCTCCCTCCTCCTCCCTCCTCCTCCTCCTCCTCCTCCTCCTCCTCCTCCTCCTCGTCCTCCTCGTCCTCGCCTCCTCCTCCTCCTCCTCCTCCTCCTCCTCCTCCTCCCTCCTTCCTCCTCCTCCCCCTCCTCCTCCTTCTCCTCCTCCTCCTCCTCCTTCTCCTCCTCCTCCTCCTCCTCCTCCTCCTCCTCCTCCTCCTCCTCCCCATCCTCGTCGTCGTCGTCGTCCTCCTCCTCCTCCTCCTCCTCCTCTTCCTCTTCCTCCTACTTCTCCTCCTCGTCCTCCTCCTCCTCCTCATCTTTTCCTCCATTCCTTCTCCTTCTAGATAACTCCTCCCTGTCGCACCCCGAGGCCTGTTTTTAGGGCGGGCCGGGCGTTTCGCCTGTGATTCTGAAGCTGAGAAAGTGACAGCAGTTTCACAGATGGAGGGCGGGTGGTTTTCAAAATGTGGCCCTCGCCTTAGCGCCGCGCACATTCGCTTTAAACATTTGCAAGAGCTTCACGGATTGAGGGCGGGTGGTTTCCAAAATGTGGCTCTCCTCTTTAGCGCCGCGCACATTCGTTTCAATGTTGCAAGAGCTTCACGGATTGAGGGCGGGTGGTTTTCAACATGTGGTTATCGCTTTAGCGCCGCGCACATTCGTTTGAACAAATTGTAAGAGTCTCACGGATTGAGGGTGGTTCCTTTTTAAGCTGTAGCTCTCGCTTTAGCGCCGCGCATATTCGTTTAGAAGCTTACAAGATTTCCATGGATTGAGGGCGGTTCCTTTTCAAACTGTGGCTCTCGCCTTAGCGCCGCGCATGTACGTTTTAAAAAATTGCAAGGGCTTCACGGATTGAGGGCGGTTCCTTTTCACAATGTGACTCGCGCCTGAGCGCCGCGCACATTCGTGTTCAACATTTGCAAGAGTTTCACGGCATCCCATGATTAACGCACCAGAATCGGCGTTCTGGAAATATTCAGGATTATGCGGGTGCAACACTTATGTTGATTCGCGGTGTTGAAGTCCCGAAAATGGCGCTCTGGCACAATTCCAGATCGTCAAGACGCAGCAGTCAGGTTGATACGTGGCGTTGAAATGCCGAAAACAACGTTTTGGCATGTTTCCTGATCTTCAAACGGTTGTCTCTGAACGAGGCAGTTCCTTCAATGGCAATGAACCGTTTTGGGGGGCCTCCTCCTCCTCCTCCTCCTCCTTCCCTTTCTCCTCCTCCTCCTCCTCGTCGTCCTCCTCCTCCTCCTCCACAGTTCCTTTCCATAGTACATAATTTCTCCGTGTCGCACCCCGAGGCCAGTTCTTGGGCGGGCCAGGCGTTTCGCCAGAGAGTTCCTGACCATTTATGATTCTGAAGCTTAAACATTGGCAGCAGCTCCACAGATGGAGGGCGGGTGGTTTTCAACATGTGGCTGTCGCCTTAGCGCCGCGCGCACTCGTTTTAACAGATGGCAAGAGCTTCGCGGATTGAGGGTCACCCGTTCTCAACATGTGGATCTCGTCTTAGCGCCGCGCGCATTCGTTTTAACAGTTTGCAAGAGCTTCAGGGATTGAGTGTCACCCGTTTTCAAAGTGTGGTTCTCGCCTTAGCGCCGCGTGCACTCTCTGTAACAACTTGCAAGAGCTTCAGGGATTAAGGGCCACCCGTTTTCAACATGTGGTTCTCGCCTGAGCGCCGCGTGCATTTGTTTTCAACATCTGCAAAGGTTTCACGGGTTGAGGGCGGTTCCTTTTTATCATGTGGCTCGCGCCTTAGCGCCGCGCACATGCGTTCATACAATTCGCAAGAATCCCACGGGTTCCCATGATCAACGTACCAGACATGGTGGCTTGGATGGATTCTTGATTTTGCGGGTGCAACAGTTACGTGGATTCGCAATGCTGAAATCCCAAGAATGGCGTTCTGGCGCGATCCAGGATCATCAAGACGCAACAGTCAAGTTGATCCGTGGCGTTTGAAACCCGAAAACAATGTTTTGGCATGCTTCCGGGTCTTCACACGGTTGTCTTCCAACGAAGCAGATCCCTCAATGGAAATGAACACTTGTATAGGCCTATGCAGAGGGAGCTTGGAGGGAGGGTGTATTCCAACATAGTTGATGGCTCTTGGTTTTACATTGGTCTTCCTCCTCCTCCTCCTCCTCTTTTTCTCCCCCGCCCTCCTCCTCCTCCTCCTCCTCCTCCTCGTCCTCCTCGTCCTCCTCCTCCTCCTCCTCCTCCTCGTCGTCCTCCTTCCTCACTCCTCCATCCTCCTCCTGCCATCCTCCCCTCCTCCTCCTCCTCCTCCTCCTCTCTCCTCCTCCTCCTCCCTCTCCCTCCCCCTCTCCTCCTCCTCCTCTCTCCTCTCCGCCTCCTCCTCCTCCTACTCCTCCTCCTGTTCCTCCTCCTCCTCCTCCTCCTCTCATCTTGTTCCTCCTTCCCCCCCCTCCTCCTCCTCCTCCTCTTCCTCCTTTTTCCTCCTCCTCCTCCTCCCTCCGGTCCTCCTCCTCATCCTTAGAATCACTACTTTCCTCCTCCGCCTCCCTCCTCCCTCTCCTGTTCTCCTCCTCCTCCTCCTCCCTCTCCTCCTCCCTCCTCCTCCTCCTCCTCCTCCTCCTCCTCCTCCTCCGCCTCCTGCCTCCTCCTCCTCCTTCCGTCCTCCTCCTTCTCCTCCTCTTCAATCCCCCTCTTATCCTGCTCCGCCTCCTGCTCCTCCTCTTTTCCTCCTCCTTTTACCCCTCCTCCTCCTCCCT